TGTAGATCACTCTATATAAGAAATAAACTTATATAAGATCTATATAAGAAATAACTTTACAGATACAATAATCTATCTTGCATCAGCAATACAAATGTTCTCTTACTGAGATTCTTATAGATTAGATAAAACCCAACAAATAATAAAATTTAATTAAATTAAATATAAAATCAGTTAAAAACAATTGGTGAATTTGATACGACTTATTTATTGATTTCAAATATAATTAATCACTATGTAAATATAGGAAATCCTTTCTTATCTGCTCTGTGCTTTCGAAATTGTTATTAAATTATTTTAGTAATCACTAGATTGTGGATTTCTATGTATTTATGGAAAGTTTAGAAGTGCAAAATTACACGCCTAATGTAAAAACATATATAAAATATTCAAAGTATAGTTCTCTTTGTAAATAGTTCGTTGTGTAAAATAACTTTCTGTCAAGAAGATTATTTTCAAAATAAAAATCCGCAATCTAGTAATTATCGAGGTCGAGCAACTTTTGTAGAATGTTCTGTCTCATTGGACAAGCTACGTCACAACTTGTTCCACTGTTGCAGAGATCAATATTTCATTAACGTATCTATTACTTACTTAAAATCAATTTTATCTCGTCGCAACAATAAAATAATAATCACAGAGTCATTTTTTTTTTTTGTCACATAATTTACTTAATTTTATCACATAATTTCAATTGTGATTCTCATCTAGTTAAATAACATTCTGCCAGAAGTAAGAGTGAGCCTAGATCTACTGGTAATGTACATACCTGTATCACTTCAATACACGCTTGCAATCAGAATTGGCGCGTGTTTATTTACAATACGAGCGTGATACTTTCTTATTCGAACGTGAGATGCAAATCAGAAATCAGCGCAATTGAGGAGAAAGATCATCGACAATGATTCGTGGTAAACACACGTGTGTAACGAGAGATTGAAAAATCATTTGCTAACACAATGAAAATCCTGATTTTCCAATTGCAAACGTGCGAAAGATTTTACGAATGGCGCGAACTCACGCCAGAAGCCACGAGGCAAGTTACTATTCACACAAACGGATCCAATCGCACGAGTTCGATAATCGATTTCTGAACAAATTCCTCGCGATCGTTTCCTTTACGTGTGACACACTTTTAACACACTGGTTGAATCACTGAATTGATTGGGATAGATGGAACATCCATGCAAACGGTCAAAAATTCTCGGACGCGATTCGTACACGAACGAGGAGGTCTAATCGTTGCGAACTCAAAGGACGAACTATCCTCGCTGCTCTCGAGAACCAGTGTTTTATGGTGGTCTGTGAACCTCCATGGCAAACGACATTCACCGCTGGTAAATGATGATTGCTTCTCTCGGTCATTATCATCATCATTACCGTTAGGATCATTACCATCATCATCATCATCATCATCATCATCATCATCACCATCATCATCATCATCATCACCATCATCATCATCATCATCGTCATTGTCATCATCATCAATATCTTTGCTATCATCATTGTTTTTCCAATCAAACGAATAGCAATAAATGTAAAAAGTTGACGAAACTTCCTGTTTCGATATGTATTAATTTAAGGTTTATTTGCGTTTCTCCTTGATCCATAAATTCCGGAAATTAAATATAGGGAATATTTGAAACTTCTTGTAAAAGAATTAATTCTGAAGAAAGTCCTTGGTCATGCATGTGCACTTTGTTGAAAACAAAATCATTAATATCATAGATACTTTTATAATCTCTACTAAATATTGTTATTGCTGTTGTAAGAAAATTTCTGTTAAGGTATAAAGAACGATAATGAACGACAAGAAAATACGAGAAATAATAAAGAGTGAAAAAAGAAAATACAGGACGAACAGTCAAACAACAGGGATTGAAAAAGTTAAGAAACTTTTGAATAGGTTCTATTTTAAATATGAATTGTAAAACTTTCCGAGAAAATGTTCTTACGTTACAAGTTTCATGATGAAAGTAGATAGATAAATATTCTGTGAAAAGTTTCAGACAGAATAGAACTTACCAAATAATAAAAATAAAATTTTCTTTTGTTTGGAGGGAATTACGAAAAAAGCAGCTTCATTTCCCAATAATTTGAACGAGGTAACAAAAATCGACATAAAGTCAATTTTGTACTATGAATTCACGGTCAATTAGTATTCGTGATAACAGTAAAACTTCTGCAGTTTTGAGGTCTCAATCTTTATTTCTTCTTGCAATAGTAGAGTCAAAACATCGGAGCTGCTTCCTCATTAGCGCAGCCCCTCTAATTTCGTGTGACAACGATAACGTCGAGATTTTTGCTCGATACCCGCTGCTATAAATAGCACAGTTGGCGTAGTAGGTGTATTTGGAACATTCGAATTCATCCACCGACATAACCTCCAAATGACCATTAAGACCCGAGCAATGTTTCTCAAACGTTTGAGGCGAGTACGGTGTTTCGAGTCAGCTGACGAGATAATTTTACGATTCTGACGGTGATGCCGAAATAACTAACGTACTTTGTTGCGTGGCTCTAAAAATAACCGACCTATAAAGGGTCGGTCATTTTATGCTCTCCTAGCATTCATTTCTCTAATGCTAGACCTGATATTGATAAGCATTGTCATCACGTGAATTAATTTGTAGATCTTCGTAATTTCCCGATCTTCTGTCTGCTAAGATTCATAAAGATAGCGAGAAGAGAACGTTACGAAACATTTTCATAATCATTCAGATTGAATTTATCATGTTTGGTCCATCGGTTTATTTCAAGAAAGAAAATGAGAAAAATATATCAGTAAGATTTGTATTTCAGAATGAAGAATATGAACAAAAAATATATCACGTCACTGTCGTAGAAAGAATCGTCAGTTAAAAATTACATTTGTGCCGTAAAGATGTCGTTGCTCGAGTAGTCTAAAAATTCGTTGACCCGATTCGCGAGATTTTTATTTCGGGATATATCGTAGATTGGGCAAACGCGATTGTCACCGAAATAAAACCACTGTCAATGGTGAGATAAGGGAAAATGATAGGAGCATGTAAGAAATTTATAAAAACCGATCTTTTTCGATCGATCTATTAGGGGTTCGTAAAGAAACAAGGCTGGCTGCGAGCCAATAGATTTGTGCTATTTTGTTCGGTCTGTTCGAACGCTAAGTTCTAACTCGACTCGCGAATCTGTGTGATCGTTTCCTTCACACAGTAAAATTCGAGTTTCGCGAATTTTCTCTTTGTAACAAGAACATACTTGATACTCTCTCGGAATAACTCTGTTGGTGATTTTATAAATTTTGATGATTTTGACATTTAATTTCTGCAAATGTAAAAAAAAGTGTTCCGTGAAGTAGTAAATAATTATTGTTGTAAATTGTGAGATTGCGAATATGATGTGGAAAAAGATACGCGTTTGTCCTCTGTTACGAGTTAAAATAATTTTATTTAAATATTTTAATATTACACTGACTCAAAAAACTAATTTTATTGTAATA